GAAAGAATGGTGCGAATCCAAAAAAATATATTTCAAAATGTGGAACTAATTAATTTTTTTTTTAATTTAATTTAATATTTTGACGATTCTTAGTTTTTACTGTATAAAAAACTGTATTTACGTACTTGTGTCATTAAATCAAATAAAATGTTTTTGATTTTAATGAGGCAGTCAAGGTAATTGCTTTTGGCAATTTTCATTTGTGCTGCCTTGTCCGAAATGGAAATTTCAGACCACTTGCCAGTACTGTACATTATGGCGATTTCGTATTTGTAGGCATAATCCAACGGTAAGTTTTTGATCTATATTATAAATGCACAATCATAATGATAAAATATATTATTACCCTAAACGTCATTATTTTTACTCGATATGAATTTTGTAAAACTAAGGGGTAGTACGAGGAGGACGTGAAAAATTAATGGGTGAAGTGGGAGCGTCGGGTGTTTTGGGTGACAGGAGGATGCCTATAAAATTGAAAGGTAAATTTTATAGTTTTGCGTCGGACCATGTAGTTGGGAGTGTAAGGCGAAGCTAAAGAAGATAGTCGTACATATTATGGTGGTGTACTTACCGATGTTACCGTATCTCCGATCAGTGATAGTAGTTCGTTCATTCCCTTGTCCTGAACGCCACCAGCAGGCGCCGAGTTACTAGACTGGTAAAAAAAAAAAAAAAAAACATAGCATAACATAAACAACTTGATTTGATGATACGTATCATAATGTGCAATTTAAAAAAAAATTAACCCTTATGAATAATCATTATAATGTATTGCTTACATGAACAGACATCGTGGCAATAAAGACGAAAAATAGCAAACAATTCAAGCAAACTGATTTTAAATTCAAATCATTACAAAGTCATAGCAAACGAACCGATGGATGAAAATTAAAAAATTCAAACGACAAAAAATGTAAAATGTAATTTTAAGAGAACACCACAATGTTTATTTACTCATTTGGAACAATTATTTTCTCAAAAAACACAATTGTTATCCTAACCCGTATGATGTATAATGTATTATATTATATTCTTTAAAAATAAATAAATTATGATACAGCATCCTCTTAAAACCAGCACTTAAATGATAAATATAATTAATCGGATTAGGCTTACTTGAACGGCCAACGCCGCGATGATCATCGCAAACACAACAGTTGCTTGTCCTGCCATTGTGACTGAATGTTAAACAAACTTGAAAAACTGATCAATTGAGAAAGTTAACTGTTCGTTAAACGTCCAATACATCAGTGCTAGGCGCTACACAAACTGGTCCATTTATACATCAATGAATATGCTTACAAGGGTACATTTTAACACATAGCTTATTATTCCATTTCAAATAGACTAAGTTACGTCAAAGATTGTAATTCAATAGTTAACAAAAATTGACTAATTTAATAATCTAACTATGTAATTTGTGTAATGTGCAATTATTTCAAACAAAAAGCATGTTCAGCTCGAATGACTATGTGATTAATATTTTAATGATTATTTTTTAATTGATATTAAAAAAGGTCTGCTTTGACGCAGAACTGCATAGGTTTACAGTGATGTGCACTTTTATTGTGTGTCTGTACACACGATAACTTTTGAACCGCCGAACCAATTTCTTCGAATATTATTTTCTACTTTGACTAGTTTTAATTACCAGGAAAATGGTTAGATCGAGTTTAAATTTATAATGAATGTTTATTTAATGTGCTTCCATGCGGCAAGAACCTCAAACTTAACTACTACCTATTTCCCAACCTTCTCTTCCCCATGTTAGGGGGGGGGGGCCTATATTTTGTTTTTTTGTTTTTGTTTTAGTCGGTTTTTTACTGTCACTTTACAAAAGTAACCCTAACGGGCTACGATAAGTTATATAATTGACCTTTTAACGTGGAAAAAAATACAAATATTTATATCGCCTACACATTTCTTAAACACACTAACTATACAGATTAAAATTATATTATCGTCACGTTAGCAAAAATATTTATCAAATACCGTAGGCGCTATTTTAAAATTTAAAATTATCAGTATTCTATTTCAACTGTAGTATATGCTATAGTACTATAATTACTATAATACGGACGACGGGCCAGTCCGCCCCTGATATATATTGTCGTTTTAGATGTGAGTTGGCTGTTTAATTTCAAGTACACTTACAATAGTATATTTTATATTATAAAATAATATGTATGTATACACTGACAATGTGCTGAATTTTTAACGCGGTCCTTAATAACTATAATAATAATATACCGTTGGTAACTGATTATCCGGTTGTGTATTGTTTCTTAATAAAAAACGTTCGGTAACAATGTGCATTTTCACGAGCCATAAGGTTTAACGAGACATTTTAAACGTTGAAAATCGCCTTCTTTGCCGTACTTACAATTAGGACTAACGATCATTTCGAACGTTGTATGTATGTTTAGGTTATTCTGTGTCAGTGCCGCACGCTTATGTTTTCATTTAAACGCCACCGACAAAAGTAATGTACTTTGCTGCTTTAATTATTAGCAATCATCAAAATATGATTATTATTATTATAGGCAAAACCGTATGAAATCTGGTATTCACCGTGAACATTGTTGTGCCCACCAGCCTACAGGTTTCAATAGAGAGAATTGTATATAATTATTTGAACACCGTAAATAAAACATTGTACGTTTCATCGATATTTTGGTTTCGGTAAAATATCAAAATAATTGTAATAATGTATGTTCAGTGTGAAATCAATTTATCTCTACAACAGTTTTTCATGCATATTACTAATTATTTTATATAGTATTATTTTTAATATTATAAATAATTATCTTTTAAATGCCACCTGCAAGTAAAACATAAACTATAGTGTTTGTCTCTTTATAGGCAATTTCAATAAATTATTACAATCTCGAGTTTTGTTGAATGATTCCTTTTACATATTATATGTATATGTAAAATCACATATAGGTATACCCCGGGGGTAATGTCTTAATATTATATCGTTTAACTGCGTAACGTACAACAAAGATAACAGCTTACCTATTGTGTTTGCGATTAAAATTGCGGTTGTAATTAATTTTCCAATATTATTTATGCTGAACCCGTCCGGTTAACGGTGCAACTAGTAATATTGTTACGGCGAAAAAAGGTATTATTTTTTTTTTTTTTTGCCCCTTGCAGACTATAAGAAGTCGCCACGATTTTAGACAATACAGCTGACTAGAATAGCATGTGAAATGATAATATTAGGCAGCATCGCACAACCGCACCGACAATAATAAGTCGACCAAAACGCACGGACGTGGAATAATAATTTCGCCGCTGGCCCTTGCCATTACATAAGCCGCTCGTTGGTACACACAAAAGACATATTTTATTATACCAAGCCAACGGTCTTGCAGTCCACCGTCTATTTATTACCCACTAGTTAAGCCCCGGACAGTGTCCGGTTTCGTCGGTTAGAGTGACCGAAGCAACAAACAACGAACCGCGTTAATGTATTAGACATTTCATTAGGTAACATCAAAAGGCCGACCGCTGTAGCCCGTGTCGACCTTTAATGAGTAAAATCGTTAAAACATAATCTTTATACAATTATCGACATCTACTTTTAAGTTATAGCTTCAGTACAAAAGTCCGGTCGGTACTTTTTACAATAAAGTGACTTTTTTTGCACATAACTTTTTAGTTAATTGAAAATTTCTGTGAGCAGAGTTTGATAAGTATTTGTGGTAAGTAACCTATAACATATTAATTCTAGTGATAATTTGATAATGTTGGAATAAGATTTATATTTTAAATACAATATTATACACGTTCAATTTATATGTATAGTTTATTGTTATTTTATCTGCATGTCACTTTTGTATGCAATGTAGAATTGATTGTACGTTAAAGGCAAATTTTTAATTTTTAATTTTCTTGTTGTGTAATTCCTTTTTTAAAAGCTCAATAATTGGCATTTTGATTAAGTTTTTTGTAAGTTTGATATACGATATAGTATTAAAATGTGTATACAACGGTGTTATTCCTATTAATAAAAACATGTAAGCGACAAGTTTATATGCAGGGATGTGAAAAATACAGTATCTTTTCGACTAAATACAAAATACAAAGGTACAGGTATCTTAAAAAACAATTTACAAAGTACAAAAAGTATTTGAAACACTTGTATCTTAGATACTGCCCATCCTTATTTAAATGTAATGTAATATCTATATATCAAATATTATGTACAAGTAATACATAGCTAACGTTTTGTAGAAAATATAATTCAGATATAATCAAACTAAAAAATTAGGATCTATAATAGTTATGATGTATGTGACGTCAAGTATTTCACACTTATCTTCTAGTTGTAGATTGTATTACATAATAAAATAGTCGGTAAGCTTCAAATTATTCAAATAATATACAATCCTATTCTTAACGGATGTTAATTAGTTTTATTGGACTTTTATCACTATAAAAATTGTTTTTGGTGTATAACTTTGGACAGTATAGACAAGATATCGTAACAGCCAGCTAACTGCCAAATATAATGTCTTTATTCTAATTAATATTAAAACAGTTTTACAATTTTTCACCAAACTAATGATAGTAATAGTTGAACGCCTACTTAACGGTCATAAAATAGTAGAAACTTAACATTTGTTTTTTAATTTAGAGAAATATTCAACCATTTTATAATACAATTTTTTTTCCATAATTAGTGTTTCAAAAAATTACTACAAAATATATTATTCTGACGGATTTTATTTTTTATATTATTATTGCGATTATAAATAATATGTCACACAAAACTTGTTTATTAATAAATAGTTATAAAACCATTTTGTTCATATCTGGTTTAAAAAAACACGAATGTAAGATAATGATACAAACGCATTAAAAATTTGACTTCTATGTGAGATGTGCACACTGTTAGGAACATTATAAATGACTAACGACAATTTATTCTGATAACTATTTAGCGTTTTTAATATTTTAACCAAATCCAAGTAAATTTGAAGAATGTAAACAATCATATATTCTTCATTCAAATTCTACACTAAAATTGAGATAGTTAATATTTTTTTAAATTCAAATTGAATCGCTATTTTCGTTGGCGAGGTCTTGGAATTCTTTCTGTAACAACATAGATACAGTTATGATTAGTATTTTGATATTGGAATTAGATATATTATTATTTTACCGTAGCATGTTTTATTGATTTGACCAATTCTTTCATCATATCTTCGGTCGTATTAGCTACAGTAACCTTGGTGTCGGCGAGGAGTGTGGCATCATTTACGTTCTTAGCCTTGCCGGTTAAAATACTGAACAAGTTATTAAATCTCTTTTGATATAGTGTTAAGTCGGCATCCTTAGGCAAATCTCCATCCTTATTTACCAAGTCCGCAATTTTATTGTGCCAACTGGAAACGTCACTTTGCACTACTGCGGTCTCTCTTTCATTAGCATTCATCTATTACAACGAGGAATAAATTAAAAACTTTAAACATACGAGTGCATTTCTATTTATGAGATTTTGTTAATTAAATTATTCAATTAATTAAAGCAGTATAATACATTCTAACGCTTAAGTATTTTTAAAATTTAACACTAATGTGGTTGTATATTGTAGCAGCGTATTTTGAAAGAATGGAGCGAATTTTTAAAAAAATATTTAAAAATTTGGAATGCATTAATTTTTTTTTTTAAATTAAATTTAATATTTTGACGATTCTTAGTTTTTACTACATAAAAAACTGTATTTACGTACTTGTTTCATTAAATCAAATAAAATGTTTTTGATTTTAATGAGGCAGTCAAGGTAATTCCTTTTGGCAAGTTTCATTTGTGCTGGTTTTTCTGAAATGGTAATCTCAGACCACTTGCCAGTATTGTACACTATGGCGATTTCGTATTTATGGGCCCAAGCGAACGGTAAGTTTTTGATCTATATTATAAATGCACAATCATAATGATAAAATACATTATTACCCTAAACATCATTATTTTTACTCGCTATGAGTTTTGTAAAACTAAGGGGGAGTACGTGGAAGACGTGAAAAATTAATTGTGGGTGGGTCAAGTGGAGGTGAGCGTCGGGTGTTTTGTGTGGCAGGAGGATGCCTATAAAATTGAAAGATAAATTGTATAGGTTTTAGTCGGAATGCTGGGCAGTAGGATAAGAAAACTGAACAGAGAACGAGAGTAGCGAAGATGAGTATGTTAAGATGGATGAGTGGAGTGATTAGAGAGAATAGCATAAGGAATGAACACATAAGAGGGAACCTAGCAGTTGTATCACATGTGGAGAAAATGAGAGAGAACAGGTCGAGTTGGTTCGGTCAAGTTATGATAAGATATTAGGCAGAGGCAGTGAGAGGTGTTATGAAGATTAATGTAGAGGGGATGTCATGTGAAAAACAGTTCGCCCTCATTGGTTCTGTATTAAAAAAAAAAAAAAAAGAGGGCAAAAAAGGAAGAGGGAGACCAAAGTAAAGATGGATGGGCAGAATAGAGAGTGATAGCCGGGGACGATTGAACGAGATGTAGAAGACCGAGTGCTATGGGGGTGTAGGACTAGGGTGGTCGATACCATGTAGTTAGGAGTGTAAGGCAAAGCTAAAGATGATTGTCGTACATATTATTATTATGGTAGTGCAGTACTTACCGATGTTACAGTATCTCCGATCAGTGCTAGTAGTCCGTCCATTCCATTGTCCTGAACGTCACCAACAGCCTTCGAATTAATAGACTGAGAAATAAAAAATAAAAAAACTAAGCATAACGAAAACAACCTGATTTCTTATACGTATCATAATATAGAATTAAAAAAAAAAAAAAAAGTTATCCTATTTTTTTTTATTTTACTATACTTGTAATAGAAGTGCTACTAATTAAAATATTATATAGTTATTTACGGTAAATTATATATTTGGATCAACTAAAATTATTTGTAATTTTTAAATAAAGTTATTGTTAGAATAACAGCTAAATAAATAGTTTGGCCAACTAAATGTTTAGTTAAAGCAACTATTTATTTGGTTCTTACAACAATACATGTATTGTGTCCCTATATTAACCATAGTTTCTTCTGATCCAATTATGTATTTGTTTTCATGGTAGTTAGCACAAGTTTGTTTGTTCGTATGGCAGAAATAAAAAACAATATTAAAAATTATTAATTGCAATCGAACCATAATGCCATTTGTCATTAATCTTAAGAGGATGCCACACCGCTTATATTTATTAATTTGGAACAAGTAGTCTTTTTTAAAAACACAATTATTATCCTAACCCATATGATGTATAACGTAATATATTATATTTTTTAAAAATAAATAAATTATGATACAGCATCTTCTTAAAACCAGCACTTAGATTATAAATATAATTAATCGGATTAGGCTTACTTGAACGGCCAACGCCGCGATGATCATCGCTAACACAACAGTTGATTGTCCTGCCATTGTGACTGAATGTTAAACAAACTTGAAAAACTGATCAATTGAGAAAGTTAACTGTTCGTTAAACGTCCAATACATCAGTGCTAGGCGCTACACAAACTGGTCCATTTATACAACAATGCATATGCTTACAAGGGTACATTTTAACACATAGCTTATCATTCTATTTTAAATAGACTAAAGTTACGAAGTTACGTCAAAGATTATATTTCAATAATTAACAAAAATTGACTAATTTAATAATCTAACTATGTAATTTGTGCAATGTGCAATTATTTCAAACAAAAAGCATGTTCAGCTCGAATGACTATGTGATTAATATTTTAATGATTATTTTTTAATTGATATTAAAAAAGGTCGGCTTTGACGCAGAACTGCATAGGTTTACAGTGATGTGCACTTTTGTCTGTACACACGATAACTTTTGAACCGCCGAACCAATTTCTTCGAATATTATTTTCTACTTTGACTAGCTTTAATTACGAGGAAAATGGTTAGATCGAGTTTAAATTTATAATGAATGTTTATTTAATGTGCTTCCATGCGGCAAGAACCTCAAATTTAACTACTACCTATTTCCCAAACTTCTCTTCCCCACGTTAGGGTGGGGGGGGGGTGTACTCTATATATTGTTTGTTTTTTTTGTGTTATAGTCTGTTTTTACAGTCACTTATCATATAGTGGACCTTTTAACATGGAAAAAAATACAAATATCTATATCGCCTACAAATTTCTTAAACACACTAACTATACTAATTGAAATTATATTATTGTCACGTTAGCAAAAATATTTATCAAATACCGTATGCGCTATTTTAAAATTATTAGTTTTTTATTTCAACTGCGCAACAACAGAGGTGTATTATCTTAAGTCTAGAGTGCAAAAGTCATTCGACGACATGGTGCTTATATGCTGTAATATTGTTGTTATAGTTTGAGGAGTATCGACAAAAACAAAGTACTATTGTTTTAAATGTGTGTTGGTTCATTTCTAATTACAAAAATTCGGTTAACTTAGATCTGGTAGAGGACGGTACAAACCAGCTAATGTAATTATTATTAATAACTTTTATGAAACAAATATTCCTGGCAATCCAGCAATTGAACTCTTTCGACCGTATTGGGGTTTGTTGAACAAATAAAATACCAAGCACTTCTGCGATACACACACTACACAGCTGTTATGTAGACAATATTATTGTATATACAATATATATATGTGTTTATATAATATGCACGACATAAATGCATATTAAAACACCCCCGAGACCGATTATTGTTAATTATAACTGTACTGTGTTGGTATTACACTTTAGGATATATTTTGTGTGTACACGATTTAGACACCTTTGCCATTAACAAGAATAAGTAGAGCCAATTTAAACAATACAAACATATTTTACAACACAAAAACAGTATTTGTAATTTCACATAATAGTTAGTACAGGTCACTTTAAAATATTTCCATACATTTTTATTCGTTTGAAAATTAAAACATATTTGAAATAACAACAAAAAATATTTATTATACATTCAACTCTGAATTCTGACATGTATAAAATGTTGTTGGAACGCTGTGGTGGTGCACCATGTATAGTTGATTTATTATATTATCCGTAATATAATATTAATGCTTTCATATTGAATTTACTGTTTTTTGAGAGCTTCGATGTCGTTCTGTAATGTAACCAATTTTGAGTTAGTATTAATAATAGACTTATGTCTAGGCACATAATAATATTATTATACATTTTTAAACATATTATGTACACAATAATATTATTTTCCATTTGTATGAACACTAGAGTGGTGACCTTATTATATTTCGTTCTTCTCTCGAGATTGTATTATTGAGATTATGATAAAATCAGCAAAATGTACACGGTTAATGAATGAGGTATTTGAAAAGGCCACAATATATTATCCGATAATGTTCATTTAGTGTTACAAACAAGTAAAAAAAACGATAACTACTTGTTATGTTTAATAATTGACTAAACAAAATCTGTTACAATATTTGTTATTATGCTATTACTGTAATTCATAATTTAAAGTACAGATCATTTTATAATTGGTTATATAACGCGTTTAATTAACTGATGAATTTAATTAGGTTTTATTTTATTTGTTTCCTTATCGAGTTTTAATATCGGTAATCTGAAACGATCCTCACTTTAAGGACCTGGAGAGTATGTAGTAGACTTTGCATCAGATCTTTAGCGAATTCCGAAACGGCTATTTTGTGTTCTGCCTTGTCGTCCTGGTTAGCTAAGCACGTCGAGCCCGTAATGAAGTATTTCAGAAGAGTTTCGAAAGCCCATCGAAGTTTTGCAGCGCTCGCACCGTCTATGGTGTGGTATTTTATTGAGGACATTTGTTCCATTGTATCCGCCCAGTCGGCGGCCACTTGCTTGGCTTTATCACTTGCAAAGTCTGTGGAAACGACCTAGGGAAAACTTGCATTTACTGACCGCAATGGACACAGTTTAATTAAAAATATACATAGTTACAACGATAAGACATAGCCAAGTCAAAAATATTTACTATAGTAAATACCACATTATTGAATTTCTTCAATCCCCGCAAAATAACAATTACCCAGTTTACAATGGGAACTAGATCAAAACGTATCAACGTGTATTTCAATCTACCTTTTTGGCGAATGCGGCTATTTGGTTTTTTTTAAATTCTTGAAAGGTATCGATTCTTTCGAGACCGACATTTAAAGACACTTCATCGTCCATACCCAAGTCGTCGAAAATTTGCGCTGTAAGTTTATTTAAAGATATCTCACAATCTTCGACCCATTCGAAGTATGCGTCTTTCTAGAAAAACAAAATATCAGTAACATTTTTATTTGCCCAGTTTTTTTTTTATATCAAATAAAGTTCTCGGGGCAACAACCAGACATGTCCATTTTTTCAAAACACTTTAAATTAAAAAAAAAAAATTTTTTGAATTTTTATCTACACATCTATGTAATCAAAAATACATGTTCCCATTTGAAAAAACGAAGTCCATACTTCTTTTACGTAATAGCAACGTGGGTAAACATTTTCTTAGTTTCGAAAAATATAGTTAAATATGTACCTAAAGTGTAGGGAAAAAATAATTTCTAAAGTATTCATATTTTTCCGAGAAAATTTGTGTCTTACATCAGACGAATCACCCTGTATTTGTACTCAATGTGACAAACAAATCTTAATTCAGATATTTTATACATCTTCATGTAGCTGTGGTTGCGGTCATTAAATACATCAATATAAACCAATATTACACTTGGGAGATAAAGATAAGGGAATTGAGATATTTTCCAGGTTTTGGCTATTAATTTAATCAGGGTCGTACCTAAACAGTATATATACAAATTAAAAAAAAAAAAACAATAATTATTTGACTAATTTTGGGAAGTTAAATTTATATAGCGTTGCGATATGACGCGTTAAACGAGTGTACTAGTATTTTATCCATGAGAAAATAACAATAAAATAAATAAATACATATATATGTCTTACTTTAGCGTTTTCATACGTTATATCTTTAGTAGCAATCCACATGCGATCCATTGAAGTAGCCATTTTTTTTGTTTGATAATTTTCAAAAAAATTACTCTTTTATGTACTTTGTTTATACAGTCGACTAGCAGGTAGTCGGAGATATTTCACTGAGAGTGCAACTGAACAATATTTTTTTAAACTAGACTCGCAGTGAGACTGATCGTTACACCTTAGTATACATGTTTATATTATATATTTTTTCATAGTATTATCTTTCAATATAAACAAGTATAACAGCGATTACAATGATTAAAACGAACACAGACCAACCGTAGACTAGAGGACTAGTTGTTATATAATAGTCGTTATAAATAACCAATAGTAGCTGTAATTATATTAATTACCTTACACAAGGAGTGCGAAGTACAAGGGGTTCATTTAGTTTGTTAGTTTTTATTATGAATACAGGATTTTTTTTTCTTTTTTACAGAACTAGTATAATAGGTTCAATCACGGTTAAAGTACGTTTCAACTAGAAATAAATGATGTCTTATTATTTTTTTAATTACTGATTAACTGCAATGAACTATTGAATCCACAACTTGGAAATTGAGTTATGCTAACTGTTGTTTGCGTTTATGCATTTCTTTATTTCCATTATCCGTCAAGGAACTAAACATAAATAAACAACATCATCGGCTGTGTTTAAGTATAAAATATTATCTTAAAAAGTTTTCCTTAAAATGTCGGTAAATATTTTTAAATAATGTACCATATTACAACAATGATTATATTTAGTCGTGACGCACAACCGAGAATATATTGATTTTCGTGAAATATTAATAAAAAAAATAATTCAGTCCGTTTCCGGTGCTGAGTTATTTTAATGATAAAAACCAAAAAAAAAAAATGTTGAATGTTAAATGTGTTGTTGTGTGTTTGACAATGTGGAATTTTTTAGGCTACATTCGCGGCTTGCTTTATACTCGCGTTACCAACGTACAATGGCAACCGCCACAGATGGAAAGGCACACGACGTTATAGAAATTTAATAAATACACACACACACTAAGGCGAATGATAATAATAATAATAATAAAATTATATGTCGAACGTTGCACCGACTTGAGCACGGCGAACGGTGATGATCACGTGCGTTTGGGCTCGATACCAAGCTATGTACAACAAATAACAATAATAATAATATACCTCTAACATTGATAAACCATCGAGCGCCACGCGACGGGCAACATCGGCTTTTGCACAACGGCCGCTCTAACGCCGGACGAACACACACATTCAGCCCACTCGAGAATAAACTTTTATATCGGATAAGGATAATAAAAACGTACTACACGTGTACTTATGTACAAGCTATCCGGGCAATTCCAATGCCACCGAAGTGCGCTTGTATTGTGTGTTTTCTTCTACTTGGGGGGGGGGTCGTTTTTTTGTTTTAGTACGTTTTCGCACGGCAAAAAGCCAATCGTCGGTGTTGTGTGTATTGTGTACGTTTACCGTTGGCCAGTGTGCCGCCGGACTCGGGCAACGGCATTATTATTACATTATTATCCGGACGAAAGGGCACGGGGCCCGTTTAAGTTAACGTGCGAACCGCGGGCTCTGGGGAGACGGTCTGAATGAAATACTATATATTGCGTACACGTTGGCCCGGGGGCGGAAAAAAAAAATCCCCATAAAACGACCGTCGGCGAGAGCGAACAAATTTGTCCGCCGAAATGGTCCGGAAGACGTTGTTGTGTCTAATAACATGCATACAGGGTGTGCCACCGGAAACTGTCACCGGAAACTGCATCCGAATGTAGGGAAATCAAAGTATAAACAACGCGAATATCAACGCGTGGCAAATATTATCATGGGCGCAATCACGCTGGAGAGGCTCTTAAAGGACGGAAGCACTCTTATTTTTGAAATTAGCAACCTTTAATATTTGTTCGTGTTCATGTATTTAAAACCTTTGCTTGTGAAAAATATTTTTAACATTAAAATACCCAAAAACTTTTTGCAGAGTTGATTGAACAGTATGTTTATTAGTATCGTTTATCATTTTCAAGAGTAGCTCTCATACTATTCCTATTAGTTCTGCATCTTGCGAATGTCAATAAACTAAAGTGTTAAATTGTTAACAACGTCCTTACTCGAAACATTAACCTCATCAATTAAAATTAATATTTAAATACCTGGAAAATGCAGAGCTAAAGCACTCTCGGTTTTTTTTAAATTGTAATTGCGCCTGTGCAAACTATTGACAGTGTAACTGTTTTTTTTTTTTAATAATGTCCTACACCGATTTATATAACGGACAGAGGATGGCATTTTACAGGATACTTGATTCGTGTATCCAGTGCTGGTTGATACGTAAAGCACTATTAAATAATTAATAGTTTTGTATAAAATACAAAATGTGTATTTTAGAATACAAAATGTAGAAAAATTACATTTTACTGACATTTATACACTAAGCAGTAAGCAAAGGCGCCAACGATCCAAATACTTTTGGGTTATCTCAAGTGTTATCTCAAGTGCATACGCATTGTAAAAAGTGCCTCAGCTAATGTAGTTTAAGTTCAAGTTCAAAAAAAATTACCAACTTGCAAAACAAAATTGGTCGAAACTGTACGAACGCGTTTGGTTATAAAAAGTGGAAAATTCCAACTAAACGTTTTCATAGTTTAATACGCCACTCATTTATTTTAACAGAGTTAAATAATGTTTTTAATTGTGTTTATAATTGGCTACAGTTAGTGTTGTACATTTACACAACACAATTGTATTTTCAACGTGTTACTCTTATTGGCATTTATAATCTACTTTTTTCATTCACCCCTAAAACGCTCAGAGATGGTGTTCTAAGAAGTGAAGATTATTTTCCACACAGCTGAACACCAATACATCTATCTAATTAAAGATGACAACTCGTTATTATGTACATTATATATTATTATGTCAGTGTTATCAAAATATATTTATAATTATCGGTGGTATTAAAAGTATATAAAAGTATATATAAATATACTTATAGAATATTCAATATATATGTTACAGAATTATAAAAATCAAAAATCAAAACGCCATTGTTTTCTTATGGTAAACTACAATAAAGGTTTTGACGATATCGAACTGTTATGGAAAAAATAATACTCGATTGCGGATTTTTCTTCTTTTTTTTTTTTAATGCGACAAATGTTTGTCATATTTTTATTGTAGCTTTGGAAACTTTAATGCAATAACTCGCAGGGGGTAAGCTGCTGTGGAAATAGAAAAAAAAAAAGAAAAATACTTGTACAGGGATAAATACACGATGTTGAAAAGTAACTTTTGCCCTAATGGTACAATGGCAATAAATATATGTTATTAATGTTTTCTTTAAGATTTTCAATTTTAACAATTTTTCACCGACCGAGAGAATTGAGGATATTTTTCTAAAAAGTGGCTGTATTCCAAGTTACATTTTTTTTCTCTCTTTTGACTATTTCCGTTGTTGTTTTTGGCATGGTTAAATATTGTCCGCGGTCTGCACTTAAGATTCGAGAACAAAATATATTTAACTTGTAAAAATTTGAAATTGATATCTTCAAGTATCAGTTGTACTCGTTAAACCGTCATCGAGTTATTTCCGGAAGAGAGTAAAAAATTCCATCGAAAAAATCAATTCTCGTTTGGAGGGTTTTAGCAGGTTAAAGACACACAACATTCTGTTCAAAACCGCACTGAAACATATTTCTGAGAAACTATACCTGCACGGCGTTTTTAAGGATCATCGTTGAGATATCGTTGTGTGGTATTAAGGTAATGGAAACGTTATATACCGTTAAAGATTATAGGGATGAACGTTTATGAACTATTAGGTATATTATTATTTCTTGGAAATATAATGTAATAAATACATGATATCTATTGATTCCGGTGATTATAACAATATAGTGCAAGTGACTGACATCGCCTTAAATGTTTTATGTATTGCTTTTCGTATCAAAAGCTTATGAGAAAAATGTATTGATAATGTTTCGAAAATCAGAGTGAATAGTCTTGTGCAATTTATGAAAAAAAACTTAAATTGATACCTACTTATCAGTAACTGAATTCCATAGCGTTCCGTACCATTCATCCTGTTTTACCATTTTGACCTTTCATTATTTCTCTGCTACCCTCCCTACTCATTTCCATTGGTTTAATTACAGCTTAATATTGCCATACAAATGTATCTGGTGTGATTTAAAGCGAGATCAAATAAAAACGATTACATTCCGCCGGTGATTTTTCAAGAAAAATAATTCTAATTTTTCATTCGCAACGCATTATAGAAAAAGAAAAATATAGTAGTGCAATACTATAGTTATAGTAGTAATATTGCAAAAGTTTAAAATAATGCATAAAGACCGACGCAGGTCATGGCCTTTTCATCTACAGAATAGCTGTATTTATGAATGCAACGTCTTATAACACTCGAACAGTTTTCGCTTTCTGTCTACATAAACTTTGAGTTCATGGACTTTGATCCATAATGATATACGACGGCGTTTAATTCACAGCGGTACTTATTGGCTAGAGAAACCAATTTATATTTTGTGTTAATATTAACACAGCATCGAGTGTCGACGGTGGCTTTAAAATTCTAAATTTATTTCCGTCAAACAGCGTTTCGGATGAACACTTTGGGTACATATTATTATTATTATTATTATTATACAATATGTACGTACGACGGAAACGGGCCGGATCAATAAAATATCTCGGCTGTTTGTGTTAGCCGGTCATCTCAAAAACACTAGTCGGCCGGCCTAGGTGACGCGGGGTGGTGTTGGCTCGGAGAAATTGGCCGGAAAAAAAGTATATTTTATTACACATATATATTTTTTCTCTCACTCTCGCAGATAAGAAAACAAAATATATTGACCACTGCCATATATACCTAAGCCGAAGACGACCGCGATCAGTTTTGGCTGTACGCAGACCAGACTGAGGGGGAAGGGAAAAGGCGGTCACGAGACTGTCTACCTTATTCCCCGTGGTACACAATATTTCCATCCATCGATATGGTTTCGGACCAATTCTATTATTTCCCTTTGGTCTTGTCGTGCATTATAATTACCGTGATCACATTCTGAACAGCTATATTGACAAAAGGATAAATTCACGGAACTGCCTGTAAACGTCGCAGCGAGCAAACAATAATGCAATAAACGCGACTAAGGCAAATTTGAATTACACCGTTTGAACTCTATTGTCAAGAGAAAATATTCT